GAACATACATGGAGATTCTTCATTATTTAATTTCTTTAAAAAATATTACAGGGCGATAATATGTGTTAGCAACAGTTTGAAAAGTGATATACCGTTTGTAGTAAACCAGTGCAATTCGTATTATAGTAAACTGTAAAAATCATTGATACTGTTACGAAAGGTACAGGCGCGGTAAGATAGCTTCCCCGCAAAGCAGTTTTAGGGCTGCCATAAAATGGCAAGGAAGGCAGGGTTGCCACATTTGGCGAGAAATAGCCCATTTGGCAATATACCATGGACAGCTGGACAACCTTCTGGAACAAATTCTTACCGGTTTAGCCCAGAACGTTCCTGAACACAAGCCGAAAGCTATGTATACCCTGCTGGTCTGCAGTCAGGAAGAGTGTGTCTCTCATCGAGAGTGAGTGTGTCTCATCTAGCGAGTCAATCAAGTTGACAGTTGGGCAGCGAGTGCCAAATGGGTCGTCGAGTCCACCGAAGGAGTCTGTTAGTGTATTGCGGTTAGTGCATCGTCGAGAGAGCGTGTTGAGCTCTGGGAAAGACTGAACCAAAGAGTCAGGAGCTGTGCTCGTGTGTCGTTGAGTGCATCACGAGTTGTAGCGTAGAGAGTCTAGAGAGTACACGGAGTTCCGAGAACGACCAAGCAGAGTCAGGAGCTGTACTCGGGAAAGTAGAATCGGCTGCTTTGCAGGAAGCTGTCTCCATCGTGATAGCCTGATAACCTGAATTTTGTGTCGCTTATCATGTCAGCGTGTTTATAGTAGACCTTCGACGACTGTAAAACGTGTTTTGGAGCTTTCCTGACAATACTGGCTAATAAAGTGTGTTTTGATACTTCATCAAGTGTCGTCGTCATTCACTCCAAATCTACGAACCCCATACGAACGTGAAGGAAGAAAATAACGTAACTACTGATGTCAGAAGAGAAAAAGAGAAACGTAACAAGCTGGAGTCAGAAGAATAGGAAAAACGTAACAATACTATATAAATTTACTTTAAGTTTGATATTAAGACTGATTTTAGGACTTTGGTTTATTGGAAATGCTAGTAGTATTAAATATATGAACAAAATCAAACGCTGTAAATGACATGTTCCAAAAATTGAGAACTGCGAGTAACATACCATGATTTCTGTTTTAATTTATTATAATATTATTATTATATATTTATATGTTATAAGTTTATTCCAAATTATGTACCCAAATTATGTCTGGTTATGTCATTGATTCATATTTTGGAATTATGTCTGCTTTTTATTCGATCGTAATAATGAATTGTATGGAAATAAATATATGTACGAAATAATTGCATAAAAATAAAATAATACAAGTGTAATAAAAATTATTATACCTTTTCCAGGCATCTTGTAATCTGATTAGTCTTCTTTTAGCAAAGCAAAATCAGTAATTAATTTTTCTTTAATATAAAATCTAATGTTAATTATGTCAGTTTCTTCTTGTTCTGGTCTTAAACATCATAGAGGTTTGAGTCATTTCATGTGTATTGAAACACTTATAACTGCAGATTAAAATTAAATGTTTTATGCATCTCTTGCTCAGTCAGTTTACTTTATACAGTCAAAAGTCTTTAATCCGGACTTGTCGGGACTTCGGCGATTCCGGATTATCGGTTTTTCCGGATTATAGATCATAAGTTTAAATCTGGTAAGATGGCATGCAGAAATTATAAAATTAAAAATATGAAATTATAATTCATAAGAGTGTATATGAAGTCAATATTTACAATAACTATTTTTCATTATAATGTAGCTTTTGTTCTGTGTGATGCAAGAATTTCAAACTTATTTACATCAATATCTTATGAATCATATCGAATAACATTTCATTATCAGTTAAAAAAATTAGTTAAAGAGACTTACGTATTTTTTCCTAAAAATACATACACAAAAACTAGTATTGGCATTAATTTGCATCAGAAGAGTTACAAAATATTCAATTCTGACAGCTTGGGGAAAAAAGTGGAAAACTGTGAAAATAGGAAACAGGAATAGAAAGAACGACCTTTTTAAAATTGTCATCCAGGTTGTTGTTTAACCATGTTTCAAATTAAAAATGGGTATGAGGTCTACAATGCCTAGAAAAAGTAATAATTTTTACCTCAGCCAACTTACTCTTTTCATATTTATGAGAAAATTCTACAAGTGGCTGCGATATAAAATTATTTCCTGAAACTGAGACTTCCAGTGAACTTCAGGGTCCTGACTTCTTGTACCTTGATCTTCGTCGTTTTTGACACATACTCGCCTCAAGAAATTCAGAACTTGTTCTCACATTAACCTGTAGTTGAATTTTGGGTATATGCAACACTGAATTCAACTATTTTATCTGCTTTCAAGGACACCCTATATGCATCATACATATATATATATAGGCAGATAGAGGGTCCTTAAAAGCATAAAAGAAGACAGATTCTCAAGGCCCCCCTATGCAATGGCATTCCTTGCATACCCTTATTTACCCTAACAAAGGGGTAAAATAATGTTGCATGCAAATGTGTTTGTAATATATTGAATGTACGCAGGTCCAACGATATATTAATAAAATTTATTTTATCAAAAGAGACAGTTCAAAGTTCTGGAATTTTCTACAGAAATTGCCGTATGGATGTTCACAGTATCAAAGAGTACAACCAGTATTTACACTTCAAACTACTAAGAATGTTAAACACAACACAATGTAAAGCACATCTAAAGAGAAAGGTAACCCAGAGATATCTCACTTCATGCTGAACTGACAACACACAACAACTGAGAGCAGATGCTCTCGCTGGCCTTATATAGTTTTCAATCAACCGCCAAGATATTTCTAGTACATTCTGCTTCTTGAAATTACTGGAAAGCAATATGAGGATCAAATTATGGTTGCAACTAATATAGTGATCACTTAAATTTATTCAATTACAATACCAATAACACTGATACATGGACTGGACCCAAATGTCACCAAGTGGTCGCCAATTTCGGCGACCTTTGACGATTTCTCACGAAATTTGGTGACAAAATAAGTTGTCAGAAAAGGTTTTATTTTGGCTGAGATACCCATTTACGCAATGTTAAAGGGACTTGCTCTTGTATTCTTACTTTTCTTGCATAGCTTGTCTTCAAATTTTTTTCGCATTACATAGAAAAATACAACAGTATCACATATAATTGTACCTATGTTCACCTATGTACAGAATTCTGAGCAATAACATCAAAAGAAATTACTGACAGTTATGATGTTATAGAAATTAGCATATGTATAAAATAAACAAATTTGGATGTGTCAGTTTCGTATAGGCAAATTACTGCCAATATGGCATAATAATAATAATAATCTCCCCTACATGCAATGCAATACATACAGCGATGTGTGATGCTGTCAATTATGCGGTCTAGTAGGTAGAATAAGACATTTCATGTAACGGTTATGTTTAAGGTTATGTTACAAAATAATTTTTCTTATAAATGATCAATTCAAACTTAAATGGGTGTTTAAGGAGACTTAACAAATACTTTGTGTCTAGGTAAATTGATGCATGATGCAAGTACCTATCAGGATTAATTAATTTCTTGTAAATAGGTGTGCAATGAGTAACTGCATTATAGTGTAGTTATTATAATAACTAAAACTCTGTAAGCATTTTCCCTCTCATTTGTGTAGATAAGCAAAGTATACTGATTGAAACTTTTAGGTTATTGTGGGATATCCTAAGGTATTAAGGTTATAATCAGTTTATTGTTTTTGGTTTATTTGTATGTATATGTTACGGTGAAACTTCGGAATCTGGAGAATGTCGACATTCACCTAGTCGAATGTCCGAAATGTTTTCAAATACTCTTATTTCTGACTTACATCGGTAAATGTCGACATTCACCATGTACTAATGGTGAATGACTAATGGCACCAGGAAGATAATTTCAAGATGGCCACGACACAAAGCCAAAGAATTGCAAAACTCTGCATCCATGTACACATCCATTTGTTTTGACAAAAAAAAAAAAAAAAAAAAAAATCTCAGAATTGCATAAACTAGGCATTGTGCACTGCTTTAAATTTGTCCATGAGCACATCAATCCATTTTTATTTTAAAAAAAATCAGGAGGCTAAAACAAAGTTAAACTATCATGGTAACCAGAAATGAGATTTCATCGCCAAAATTTTACAAAAAATTGTGGCTGATCGAAGGGTACCCAATTCGACACTAGAGCTGAATATTATATTTTCTTCTCCGTCATTCAGTCTAAAAAAAACACACTTGAGACTTAAGAACTTAAGAATATAAGAACTTAAAACACACAGTACGTTCAAAATGAGAAAGGAAAAAGAAGTTAAAAACTTGCTTAATTATACACTACGTTCTAAATGAGAAAATAAAATAACAAGAAACTTACTAAATTATGTGATTCAAATCTTATTTATTACAACAACTTAAACTATTACGACACTTTATAACTTCTCTTTTCGACCTACACCAGAGCATATCTGTGGTTGTCGGCATACGCCGGTGAGGGTCCGAATGTAACAATATAATGCAATATTCGATCTTTCACCGACGTATTTGGTGAATGTTGACATTCTCTGGAGAAAGTTGACATTCTCCAATTTCGGTCTTTCAAGGTAACATATATATATACAAACAATTAATTTGGTATTTTTGTACTGTGTATGTTATGTTGAAAATTTTAGTGTTATGGCAATAATTATATTAATGCTAGGAAACTTAGGATTTGTAATAATAGAAATTTTCCTTTTACAATAGTATAAACTCATTTGTTAAAATTTAGCAATGAGTATATGTTATTAGAAAACATTCTGTGTTGCTTTTAAAAATGTACTTTCATAAGATGAAATCTAAATTAGGGCTAAACATAGCTAAAAATGTAACATGTTAAGTATAGTAAAAACTCATTTATGTGGTGAAATGTTAACCTTTTAACTTTTTATTTTCCATCTAATTTCACTTTTATGTCATTTTTTAATGTTGTCATTATATTTCAGCTATACTGCCAAAATCTGTGTCTGCTGGCCAAGTTATTTTTGGACCATAAAACACTATATTTTGATGTAGAACCATTTACTTTTTATGTTCTGACTGAATATGATAAAATGGGCTCGCATCTTGTGGGCTATTTCTCAAAAGAAAAATCATCAGCTGATGGAAATAATGTAGCATGTATACTTATATTTCCACCATTCCAAAGAAAAGGATATGGAAAATTTCTTATTGCATTTAGTAAGTATGTTTCTGGAACGAATAATACTCGTAATAACGGCCCACCAGCGGCCGAGCGGTAAAGACGCTGAACACTGGTTGTTAGGTCTGAGGTTTGAATCCTGGGAACGGGTTGGCTACATGGGCATTTTCTTGGTTTTCCCCATGTGTAACGCATATACGAGCCAGTTTCCCTTAGAAAGTCCTCCACAAAGGCATCCCTTCCTTTAGGCAGATAGCCCTCGTGTGCTTTGCCATAATTAAATAATCCAAATCCAGTCTGGAACGAATAAAAAATAATTTTTTATTCATATGTAGTAGTATTAGTGAAACATTGTAAAAAAAGCAGCGATTTCTAGGGATAGTGTGTCAAATGTATTTTTAAAGTAAAAATTAAAATTGTCAAGCTTGCTTGTTACGTAAAAACTATAGGTAATATTTTACGTTCATGGGAGGGAGTGTTGCTCAGCATGGCTCTTTATTTCCTTTTACATGCAAAAAATATGTTGTTTGTCATTTAACTTCATTTATTATTTCTGAAAGAAAAACATGCCTTATTTCAAGTTAACATCCCTCTCCCTAGGTTTAGATTTAATTCATTAGAGAGATTTTTTATCAATAACTGCTTGTTTATTTAGAATGCAAAATAGTCTTAATTTTATGACTAAAGTTTAAGTACTGGTGGCAATCTATGTTTTAACAGAACGTCATAGCATTTTGATCCTTGATGTGAATCAAAATATACCATTCCAAGTGCTTTTTTTTTTTTTTTTCACTTGAATTTTAAATGTCATGGCACTTTTGTTTCATTCAGTGAAAATAATTTGATCTACAAAGAAAAATAGTGATCTTTTTATATGATGGTATCAATCAATTTGGTTACACCAATCCTACAGTTAAATATAGCTATGGGTGCTCACCCTTTCAGGTCTTTATATCAGGCGAGAGAGTGAGCTCACAAGCTTCCAGAGGGATAACTCTAATGAACTCTGCTACACCAAACCACCGCATGCACCCTTTCACAAGCAGATAAAAATTGCTTGCATCTTTTTTTTTAAGTAAGGGTCGTTTGAAAATAAAAACTAAACGAAAGAAAATTTTCAAAAACCTAATTTATTTTCCGATTCTACACATGTTTCTCTATTTTTCAACATAGTTGCCAAGTTTGTTTAAACATGTATCATACATTAGAACTACATTTTAAATACCCTCTTCATGGAAACTTGCCATCTGTTTTGATAAACAAGAGGTCACAGCCGTTTTCCAGTCCTAGACTAGGCACTTCAGAAAATTCGTTTGAAAAGTGCTTATGGTTAAGCGCCTTTTTTCAAGAATTTTCACTTCAGTTGAAGCCACCATATCGTCTGTAATCACAGATGGGCAACTGGAGCAGAACTCATCATGAATGCTGTCGTGACCAGCTTTGAAGTCCCTAACCCACTTATGCACTTTGCCTTCACTCATGGCAGTAGCTCCGTAAACTTCACAAATCTGCCAGTGAATATCTGCAGTAGACAGTTTTCTTACCGACAGAAAATGTATCTCTGATCGTACCTCGCATGTGACAGATAGTACGATAATCTTGAACATTTTAAAGATATAGAACAGACCATACAGGTTTCCTACACAGCTGCAACTAAGCACAGGATTATTATGCCAACCATTCAGGTGGCTAAAGACACTACCTTTTAGGACACTATAAGCTTTTGGATAATGAGATTCGGGCTCATGTAAACAGAAGAGAAACACACCAAGTTAAACATAAAATTATTAATGCAGACAACCTTGAGTTTGGCATAGATTTAGTCAAAATCTTGATTAATTTCAAGGGCAAACAGGTACAGGTTCCTCTTTGTCAGGAACAAAGAAATCTGCAAAACTGGAAATGACAGTTAATTTCTCTTGCTAAAACTACTTTGAGTCAAACACATTTTGTTTTCCAAAATGAGTATTTTTGCCAAATTGAAGGATTAGCTAGGGGTAATCTCCTCAATCCTGTACTTGTTGACATTTACATGCATAATTTTGAGGTCAAATTATTTGAGAAACTTATCTTTTTGTCTCTGGATTCGCTACATAGACAGAACTTTTGTGCTTTTTGATGGTAATAAAGATTTTTACCAGATTTTATCTATTATGAGTTCTACTGATCCAATTCACTTTTGAAACTGAATATAACAATTCCCTTCTCTTCCTTGATATTCTTATAATTTGCAATGAATCTGGTTTCGCCACTACTGTTTACCATAAACCGTTTTCTGTTTGTATAGCTCCCCATGCTACATCATGTCACCCAGCTAAGCAAAAAAAAGGCTTCTTTTTACTATTATGTATTTCGCATTCTCGAAGTTTGTTCCTCAGAACCTTTGCTTGCTAAAGAACTCAATTATTTGAGATCAGTTGCTATTGACCGAGATTTTCTCCCATGGTCATTGACAAAGTCTTAAAAAAACTTTGAGGTTACCATCAAAAAAGACATTCTGCTATTAGGAATAACATTAATAATCTTGTCGTGCTTCCATTTCATCCTTCTGTCAGTTGTAAAATTGCATGGATTGTCCAGAATTCCAGTTTGCAAGTCATTTTCTCACCTATCAATAAAATCCATGATCTCTAAAAATTCCACTTCTGACTTAATTTTTGGTGAATTTATAGCATATCATGTGAGTGTGGTTTGAGATACATTAGCTGAACTAAAAGAACGTTAAAGTTTCATATCAAGAAACACGAATCTTATATCTGAAAAGCCAAAATTAACAATTTTTGATAGCTAATCATTGTTGGAAATTTAATCATAATTTTGAGTTTGGATCTGCAAAAATTATTCAAAAGCTTCTTTAATTGGTGAATTGGATTTTCTTGAAGCTTTTCACATTCAGAAATATTTATCTAGTGTAGGTAATGACTTTAAGTCCAACCTAGTCCTTCCTAATGCTTTTAAAATTCTGTTAACTTAATTTTTCAATTTTGTTGGTGCTACCTTCTAGTTTGCTTTGCTGTGGAGTATAAATACAACCACTGCACCCACTGCTGTCCAGTCTTGCAGATTTTTTTGGTTCTAACAAAGATGGACCTGTACCTGTTTGCCCTCAAAATCAATCAAGATTTTGACTAAATCTGTGCCAAACTCAAGGTTGGTTGCATTGCTAATTTTATGGGCTCATGTATTTTATGCACCCAGAGCCAAGACTCCAGGTATGTGATGTTATATCACGTGAGAAATATTGGATATTTCTTTTGTATCGCAGAGTTGGGTTTGGTTCGTTTCATTATGGCGTCCCTCTAAAAAAAAGGTATGTATTCATGGAGGACTTTCTAAGGGAAACTAGCACATATACACATTACACATGGAAAAAACCACGAAACATGCTCATGCAGCCAGTCTGTTTTCCAGTATTTAAACCCCATAACAAACTACCTATTTTCAGCAACTTTACCATTCAGCTGCTGGTTGGCTGGTATTATAAAGAAAGTTATGTTAAGTATAATGAGGATTGGTATGCACTTAGCAAAAAATATAGAAGGCATGTAAGGCCACTTCAAGTAAACAAATGTTGCTGAAATCAGTGTTGAAAATGAGGTATAAAACTACTAAAATTTTATCAAAAATGTGTATTTTGCACAGGTTGCACTCAAATAATGCTAGAATTAGGTTGTAAGAAAATTGGTTTGTCCTAAAATCGATACTTTTAAGCTAAGAAGCTAAAGCAGTGGAATACTGATAGTTCATCTCAGTTCCTCTTCATAAAATATGTTCATTACATAAAGTTTTTGTCATTTTCCGAATGTGTAATGTAGATGTGAACCAGTTTGCTTTAAAATTTCTCTATAAAGGCATCTTTTCCCACAGGCAGATAACTACTGTTTGCTATAATTAAGTTCATTTTATTCAGATTCTTTAAATCAAGGGAATAAAAACACGATTTCATTTAATTCATTACATTTCTTTTAAGAAAACATGAACTGCAAAAAATAATAATAAATTGAATTAGCATTCTTTTGCTGCACACAAAAGTAAATTTGAATCTTAACTATTAGTGTCTTAAAGCACAGAATTTTGTCCATAATCATTGTTTGCATGTTAGTGGTAAGATGTCTTTTGAAATCTGTTGGACATTTCTGTTACTTTTATCTTTATATTTTTCTGCTGGTTTAGGTTACAAGAAATCAGATACTGAGGTCAGTTGAGTGTTATTTATTGCATGGCACTTCTTTCTCAAATTTATTATATGTTGTCGAATTTCTAGTTTTCTCAAATGTTCCGCAGTACTTTGTACAGTAAGGATGTCAAACTTGCGGCCCACAACAAATATTTTTGCGGCTCGGCCAATATATCGGCAAATAATAATATATAATAATAAAATAACATGTCGACGAAGAAAAAAATGAATTGTTTACTGCTAAGTAATTAACGATAATTTATTCAGTGTTGTTAGATTACTCACAGCGAGCTGACACACACTACTTAAATTACAAATGCGTGTGAGTAGCTTGCGTTCAGCTACCTTCGGCTTTTGGGGGAGACGTGCACTCAGAACTTGTACGCATCCCCCGATAGCCGAATGTGGCCGAACTCATGGTCTCAGTTTTCCAATCATAGTTTTGTACGATATATTGGTGCATGCATGTGCATGCACTTTGCTTTATTATTAATTATTACTTAATTCATATTGTTACGGATTTCATAGTTATTTATTTATTTAGTTTTTTTTTATTATTATTATTTAGAATTGTAATTAGATTTGCTTCATGTTGCCTTAGCAACGCAGACGATTTTTGAAAAGACAGCTGCATGGGAAGGTTAAAAATAGAACAGCCCGTGCATTTAATACCTAATAAATAAATATCTCGTAATTGCTGTTGCCATCCACAAAAATCCAGATATTTATGGATGTTTCCAGTATATTTGAGAAATTAATTATAAAGCTTATAAAAGCCAAGAACAAACAACTCATCTCAGTAGTAGCTGTAGTTCTAGCGAACTGTTTGTTTACTTAATGCTGTGATTGATTTGTAGCGAT